TGCATTTTGTACTAAACCAGCCAAAGCCACAGGAGAATAAAGCAATGAGGTGCTCATAGGAAGCCACAAGCAGTTGGTGTTGTAACATGAAAGGCAAGGAGTAGCTGAAGCTGGAACTGACCAAGGGCTATGTCACAGAGTAACTTGCAGGCCAGGCTAGGCACTTTGAACACAGTGTTCAGGAGCCAGTGGAAAATTCCAAGTGGAAAAGGAAAATGCTTGGGATTTTTAAAATAGGTCCATCTGGTGATTAATCTGATGGCACAGTAGAAGAGTTATTGATGTTTTTCTCAACTTTTAAATGAAGAAATAAAAATCCTTTTTCACATTTTGAGAATGCTTTGTGCACTATCAAAATCATGACATTTATATAACCTTTTTATTTTGATACAATTTTAGACTTTCAAAAAAGTTGCAATAAATTCAAAGAACACCAGTGTAACCTTCACCCCGATTCCCCAATTGTTAACACAGTTGTTGACATTTTATCCCATTTGCTCAACTATCTATCTACACCTGGGTACATAGACACACACTTGTTCAGTGAACTATCTGAATGTAATTTGCAGATATCATGGCTTTATTCATATGCATAAACATTCCAGTATCTAAATCCTAAGAACAAGAACTTCCTTATATAACAACAATAAACATGAAAATCAGAAAATGTAACACTAATACAATACTATAATAATCCAATTTTGCAAGTTAAACTAATAATATTTTTAAGACACGTGACTTAAAAGGACATCTGATTCTATGCAAACATCTTTCAACTGAAGATTATCACTAAAATGAGATTAACCTCTATAATAATATTTTTTAGATTATTACAAAAACAGAAGTACAGGAATTAAAAATTCTCATAGAATCTGTGGGTTCCTGGATCCACATTTGACAAAAAGTTGTTGAGAACCAAAGTAGAGACGGGAAGAGCTCTATTGCTGTGCCAGTGCGGTTGGTCTTTTACTGGCCACAAGAGCCACCATCTCAGAAAGCCAGGGGAGGTGAGAGCAAAGGCCTTCTCTCAATCCAGAAAGATTGAATACAGACACCTGATTGAACAAGGCATCAGGGGAGGAGCTTCACACACTGACTTACAAGCCACACACAGAGCTGAAGAGGAAGTCTGACCAGCACCCAGCAAAGTTACTCCTCATCTTCCTGCAGCCACCAAAACTGGAAGAAACAGAAAGAGAACTGAGGGAGAGAGAAGGACCTAATTTCCCCAGCTCAGTGAGAAAGCAGATCTCTGAAATGAGAGGAGAATTTTACTACAACCACATGCTGGCAGTATGTAGGAAGGCAAGCCTCTGCTATGAAACAGAATCAAACCAGGAGAGAGACAGCGGAGAGGTACGGGCAACAGATGAGATGACAGTGGAGGCAGTGAGGAGAGGGTTGCTCCGGGCACCTGCAGTAGAAGGTGATAGAAGCGCACTCCCTGCAATTTTAAGAAAGCTCTCTGTGTTAGAGTAGGCAGTGCAGATAAGGGCAAAGAATGCTAAAGAATAGGTCCGCTTCAAAGTCAGTCACTGTAAACAGAGCTCTTATCAAGCATCTGTGGAGTTTTACCAAAGCTGATCATAAATACCAGGCCCAGCGATGACCTCCACGTGTTCAGATGAGTTGAGATCACTACACGCACTGAAAAAGAATGCAGAATGAGATATTCTGGCTCCCTAACAGAACCTTGGTCTCTTAATCTGTAAATGTGAATGTTTAAGAATAGCTAACTTCTATGGGTTTCCTACAGAGGAAAGGAGTATTTGCAGAGCTTATCAAGGCTCAATGCTTGTTGTCTATTGGCATTATTATTATTATAATTATTATTTCTTGAACACATTCTCTATCCCCCAAATAACAAAATCTCAAAGGAATAAAGCTAAACATCCAGTCAGTTAAAATAAAACAAAGGAAGTTTAATCTGCTGTTGAATCAAATGGACTATTACAACTACAAGGGGAAAAACAAAACAAATCACCTCATTCAAAGTCCAATGGGGGCAGCCAATGCTCTATTAAGAGGCAAACTCATGGACTTAAACCATGTTCTTAGTTTGGGGGGCGGGAGGAAGAATAGAATAGAGCAAGTCTTAGGAAAATGGAATATAATGGCAGAGGTAACAACAGATATCATATTTTTAAAAAGAAGCAAATGTATATAATTATAACACACTAATTAAAATAAAAATAATAGAATAGAGTAGAGCAAGTGGACTACCAGGAAGGAGGAGAGGGAAAGGAAAGGAACTGGGGAACGAGATGCACTAATTATGTACAAGTCCAAATACGGCATAACGAATCCCATAATTATGTATAATTACAATGCACCAATACAAAATTTAAAATAAAAATACAAATAACAAAATATAAAGAAAAATATAAATATAAAAAGCAGAAAATTAACATAATTTGGGAGGAAAATAGCCAAATACACCCACTACTTGTACATGTAAGCTTTAAAAACAGAGGACATGTGACACGTGTCTAGTAACAAGATTGACTACTGTGAAATTGTTAAATTCTTCCCAAAATAGTTTTTTCATATTTAAAAAATTCAATCAATATTCTGATGGGACTATGTTTTTTGGCACTTGGCAATATAATTATAAGGTTCATCTGGAGAACAGGTGAGAATAGCTAAGAACATTCTGAAAATATTCTAATAATATTAAATTAATTTGAACAGTCTAGATTCAGAAGAAAAGTTATTTTGAGAACAGACTGACATCAACATAAAAAGAACCTTAAGCAACCTGATACCTTATGGAAATACTAAACATCTCAGATTCACACCTACTCAGCCTCAGCTCTAGATATTTCTTCCTCTTGCATGTGCAGTCCTCTAAATCAAATAACAGAAAAGTAGGTTGAGAATAAATCGCTTGTGTGGCCCTCCACACGAACCTAGAAAAACAACAGAACTCTAAAACAAAAAAATCTTTGACTCTTATTCGAGTGGAATCCTGTGTTATTTACCAAGTTTTAAAATTTCTTTCAAAATACTCATTTTTGTCCCCAAAAGGAATTTGGCATGCATTATAAATCCTTTTCATTTTTTTCAATTCATGGGTTTTTCCTCATATTCAGGTTTGAGGTTGGGAAGGTCATGTTCAAATTTTAGCTTTGTTGCTCAAGGACAAACCCTGCTACTCTAAATATTATCCAAAATAACTGCTGGAATGATTCTAAATATAGGTTCATTTTATAAGTTGGGTCTAAAAATAAAACATATTGCCTCCCTCTGGCATCTGAAGGAAGGAAAAAGAGTTATTATGGTGGGGAATGTGGCCTGGGGCTGGTTAGGCCAGGATGCCTGAGGCTAGCACAGTAAGGTGGAAGGGAGCATACGAAGCTCCCCAAACAAAAAACACAGCACACAGAAGGATGGGAGGTCTGGATGTGCAGGAGGAAAAGTATAGCAACCAGGTGCTGGCGTCAAGACAGATTCCAGGTTCTCACTACCACACCTGGCCTTGGATGAAGAGACCATGCTCTGGAGTCAAAGGACCATAAACAAAGTCCCAGTATTACTTGCCTTAGAGCATATGGGCACTGTAAGTCTAAAGTTTCCACCACAGAATAGAAGAAAATGAGATGGGAAGTGGATAACTGTGTAAGTAAAAGAAATGCTGAGAGGTGAGTCTTGGGGAGTGATAAACTGATGTGACTCCATTTTTGAGAAACCAACCTCTACCTCAGAGCAAAGCCTGTCCAAGGAAGGGGGTGTGACCCTTGTCCTTGGAAAAACCCACAGAGCACTCCTAGGCACCTTCTCATCCTGCTGAGTTGTTTATCTACAAATAACAGGAGAGATCTGCCACATCAGGTGTCCCTGACTCAGTTAGGCTAGGTGAAGACCCATAGCAACCCCCTTGCAACCACCAATCAGCATGAGACAGTGAAAATATCTGGGATGCCAAATGATCCCCCAGTAGTTTATGGTGGTTGATAACATGTTGGGAAACCATGTAGTTTAGCACGTACACCTCTCGTGGCTTAAACCAATCAGTTCAAACGAATCCCCCTATTGTACTAACCAATCACCCCTACCCAACTTGTTCCCTCCAGTGAATGTGCTAATCAATGTTAAGAGTCATTGTTTGACCTTCCCGTGGTATGGAATGATTTGCTGTGTGATGTTGTGACGCATAGAGTATCCCCCCAAAACCTATAAAATCTCACTGGACAAAAGACCGGGACTCACTCCCTGGGACCGCTGCGTCGGGAATGGTTGTGAGTCTAGGCTCGAGCTTGCAATAAAGACTCTTGTGTGATTGCATCAGATTCGGCTCCTGGAGGTCTATTGGGGTCCCACGAATCTGGCATTACAGGGAGAAATGTTTTTACTGTGGTATTTGTGTGTGTGTGTGTGTGTGTGTGTTTGTACGAGAGAGAGAGAGAATATAATAGAAAATATTAAACATTATGTGGCACACAGTGTGAAGGAAAGCTACAGACATTGATGCCAGTTAAAAATACAGAAGAACCCACAGAAGAGCAAAGTCATGGAATTTTTGTGTAAAAATAAAAGCAACCAAGTAGACTAGAGGGTCCAAAGAGGTGCTTCATTGCAGTTTTTTTGGAAGAAAGAAGAGACCCTGAGGTCAAAGCATGCAGCCTTTGAGTAACTGATTAGAACCCCATTCCTGCATGCTAGGGAAGAAGCAGCAGGTACCAGGATGAGAGAGGAGATGGTACAAGGTCAGGGAGTCTTCTGTACCTGGCTGTAACTTGGCTGCAGGTAAGGCTGGTTGGGAGAACCTTAAACAACCTGAGTCCTGGGAGAGAGGCCAGCGTAACACGAGGATCTCCTTGGAAGACTCCAGCACAAGAGTTATCACCATTAACACAAACTTTCCTTTTCTTTACTCTTTACGCCTGCCCCATGCCAATTATTAGATGAAACAAACAAGTATTGACATGGAGTAAAACTTACAACAGCATTGAACTCTCAATTCTCTTTCTTCTCTTAATTTGTGCCCCATCTTTTTACAGCTTGAGGAGGTTGAAAGGATATTGATGACAACATGGCGAGTGTGGAACAGACAGAAGAATAGATGGTGGCTTCCACATTGTGAAACTGATTGAACTCCTCTGGCAGGCTGTAAAGCCAATGGGCTTGCTCTGAGATTTATAGGAACAAGACTTTTAACCTTTCTCAGGTAACTTCTGGCATGACTTACCCAGAGGTACCACGATCTTAACTCACATGCGTCAACCAAGTTGCTTGGGAGTTCTAGGAATGATGGAGGGATGGAGAAGCCGCCATGGAAACTCAGAAGTGTCTTGGCTTGGAGGTGGAGCAGTCTCTGCCCCTTCCTGATCAGGAAGAAGAATCTTTGTAACACTGTCCCTTTGTCTGTGTCCCCCAGAAAGGAAGGAGAAAAGAGAGATGGGGGAATAGTAGAGAAGAGAAGGTTAGTTGCATTCTGTTTCCACCACACTTTGAAGTTATTTGTAAATAATCTTGAGCTAGACAAGCCACCTTGCTATGTGCTGTGAAAGGCAAATGTCCCAGCACGAACTTCATTGTATGGATTGTCTCTCACTCTTTATAGAAATCTGACACAAAGACCCTCATTGGGTCGCCTTGCTATCCTTGCTGAGATTGTAAGGTTGTTAATATTTTTAATGCTAAAATTCTTCCCAAAGCATTGAGGCAGCCTGGGGGTCAGGGTGTCTCATGTGAATTCTTTGCATTAGTTCTCTTGGCCATGCACTGGGGCCTGCAGGTTTCCTATCTGTTCATTGGATGACACTAGATCAGACCAACTCCAAAAGCATCATAGAGGCACAGACTCTTCACCTGGGCCACCAGTGCAGCAGCCACCAGCCAATGTCTGATCTGAAGGACTAGTATCTGGGTATGAGAACTATCAGGCCCTTCTGAAATCCTCTGACATTATCACCCATCAATGCAGAACTGATGGGAACAATATGGTGGGTGCCTCGTGTTCTCAGGGCCCTGCAGAGATAATGATGAAAACACTCTCTAAGACTGACTTTCTCTTTTATTGCAGAACTCAGCCATGAGCACTTGTGTTCAGGTCAGGAGATGGTCTCTGTGACAGATGCCTTACTCTACTTAGCTGCAGTTCTCAGGCATGATGAGATGAAAAAAAAAATCATCTTAGGAAGAGACTTGCCTTTTTTGAGAAAATGCCTTGAAAAGCTCACTTTTGCAGTCAGTTCCTTTGAAGCATGGCTGTTTTCTGGGACTAACATTTCTGAGAAAGAACCAATGTTATTTTGTGTAAGAAAAGAAGAGCTTTATTTATGTTTTTATTTTGTCTTGGGGCACAAGAGTAAAAAGGAAGAAGAACAAGCTAGCAAGGTGGTAGGAGGTTATGTGTTGTGCGGTGTTATGCATCTTCACCAATATCATTAAAAATCATAAATGTTTTGGATTGGCTTTCTTATGGATAACAGTGAATGGGAGCTGGCTTTGGGTATAAGCAGGCTCTGGACAAAATGGATGTTCCAGACACAGATAAAGGAGAGACAGAGACCCCAATTGCAATCAATATGGCTGGACGAGATCTCTGGTTTTTGAATCACACTTGTGCAAGCCACCTAGTCTTTGGTTATGCAAATTGATTCCAAGGGAATGTGTCCCATGAGGTCCAGAATAAACTCAGATAGGTCCAGTAGCCCAGGGTGCACATAGCTTGGGAACTGTACAACTGCTCAGGAGCTACTGTTATGGAAGTAAAATGAACTTCAGGATCTACCTATGACCTTTGCAATGCCATTGCCTTTTCTCTTCAAGAAGGGGCCTCTCCAGGAGCAGAAGAACCTTGGCACATGGTCAGCTGACAGTCACCAAAGCTGTGTAGTTTCTGGGGGAGCTCTACTTCTGTCCGTTGCACCCCACTCCATGCCACTCCCCTCCATTTCACATATATCCACTGAGATGTACTCTCTGCCTAATATTTCACCAGGCCCTGAACATTCACAGAAAAAACACATTAAGACAAAAACAAGACACTGCCACACACCTGTCAGAGCGGCTAAAACCCAAAACACGGACAATATCAAATGTTGGTGAAGATGTGGGGCATCAGAAATTCTCATTCATTGCTGATGGTACAGCCACTTTGGAAGACGGTTGAACGATGTCATACAAATCTATATTTTTACCATATGCTCCAGCAAGCATTCCCCCTGGTGTTTACCTAAATAAGTTAAAAACATGTTCTCACAAACCTTGCACACGTGAATGTTCATTACATTACTTTGTAAAACTGGAAAGAACCAAGATATCATTTAATAGACGAACTGTGGCACATCCATACAATGATACAATGGAAAGTGAAAAGAAATGAGCTATCAAGTCACAAAAAGACATGGAGGAGGCTTCAACGCATCCTGTTAAGGGAAGTCAGTCTGAAAACTGAAGTTGTACAGTTTACATACTGTACAACTCTGACTATATGACATTCTGGAAAAAGCAAAACTAGAACAGTAGTAAAAAGATCAATGGTTGCCAAGGGTTTAGGGGGAGAAAAGAAGGATGTATAGTGGAGCCCAAGAAGTTTTAGGGCAGTGCAACTATGTATGTATGATAGTTTAATGACACATATGTGACTTTATGCGTTTGTTAAAACTCAGAACATACAACACAGAGTGCACCCACTGTAAACTATGGACTTCAGAGAATATGTCAATATTGGTTCATCAGTTGTGACAAGTGTACCACTCTAAGGCAAGGTGTTAATACTAATTTTTTTTCAGTAAACCTAAAACTGCTCCAAAAATAAAGAATCTTACCTTTAAAAAAAAAAAAAGCATAGGTGTGTGATGGTGCACACCTATAAACCAAGAGACTCAGGAGGCTGGGACAGGATAACAAGTTCAAAGCAAGCCTCAGCAACTTAGCAAGGCCCTGTCTCAAAACAAAAAGGCTTGGGGATATAGCTCAAAAGAGTTGTAAAGTAAGTGACAGAGAAAGTCATGCATATAACATATGTTTGAAGAGCCAGCAGTGGGGACATGTCACAGAGGGCTTTGTGAGTAGCCATGATTCTATCCTGAGATGGGGAGCTCCCGAGGCTCTCAATCCAGGGAGTGACTCCATCTGACTTATTATTTTAAAAGATCCTTCTCAATATTATGAGAATGGACTGTCTGGTCTGGGCAAGAGTGGAACCAGGAGACGGATCTAAGTCCTGTGGAACTAGAGGGGAAACTGCAGAATTAGCACAGCACAGGTTAGCGTCCTCATCTGAGATTCTGGTCCATTTTTTAAAGGAGGTCGGTTCCCTGTGCAGCAGGGGGATCTGAAACGCTAGGGAGAATACTGTGCACCCCAGAGTTTTTAGGAAACTAGGAGGTAGAGGGTTTTACAATGAAGTGATTTCAACCACTTCTCAATGGCAAGAGTCTTCCCCTTGTTGAGTCTCATGACTTCTGTATTCACCGTGTATACTTACATGTGAGTTTCCAAAGAAAATGTAAAGGGCCCTTGTAATGATTTAGGCAGATAACATATCTTTCTGTGTGATTGAAGACCTGCTATATGCCAAGATATAATGCCAGAATTTCTTTACATTCATTACCTAATCTAAAGTTCTTTTGTCACCTCTTCTAGGTTACAGAGGGGCAGTGAGACCAGGTGGAGATGTCAGGCCAGATGGGTTATCGAACCAGGTGGAAGCCCAGACCAGTGGTGGCAGTGGGATCTAGCTGGCCAGGATGCCCAGGTCCCCAGCAGGCCTAGTCCCCAAGACTCTGCCTGGCCCCAGGTAATTCTCACCACTACTGAGTAGAAAATCCTCCTTCAGGTCACATAAATGAAATGGATTTATCCAAGGAGGGTCCCTCATTCCAAGGTGCCAGGGACTAGTGGAGTTTGGGTGGGGGAGGATGTCAAAGGGGCCCAGCTGATGGATGCCTCCGGGGTGGGTCATATTCCTGTTCCCAGGCCATTAACCAGCTGTTACAAATTCCCAAAACAGAAATGCTGACTCTGAACTGCTTGGATGGAGAAAGAGGCCAGCAGGGAGATACTGTTTAGTTTCTCGCCGTCCCCCATATCCTGAAGGCCACTTTAATTAGCGTTCAAATAGCATTTGTACTTTTTGGTCTTTGAGTCTGTATTTATGGCCACACACACACACACACACACACACACACACACACACGGGCGATCCAAATTCAATGAAATCAGGGGAACATCAAAACTCACTACACTGTATCAACGTCTCATTAAAATGGACATTGGTTGCTACAGCAAGGTAGAAGGGCTGCTTTGTAGTTTATTAGTGTTCTTAATCATTTAAAGCAAAATTTCCACACAGTGTGGTGGTGGTGAATAGAGGTCAAATTTTTAATTTAATTAATTAAGTTATTTTTAGGAACAAGGGATGTTTTCTAGCTTCCAAAGTAAGCTGCCAAAGAAGGAAAGGCGGGGACTGGTTTTGAATATAATATCAGGTTCCTGGTAAAACTGGACACGTTTCTCAAGACGCACTGCTAATATTTGGAGTGGTGTTATAAATATTTATGGGATGAAGGGTGGTGGGAGCCATGCTCTGCGGTGGGTACAGTAGGAAATGAAAGGACATCCAGTTCGCTCGGGGAGAAACAACCGTGTAGTGACACAGAAATGGCTGAACGGGTGGAACAGCACATCTAAAATAAGCGATAACGGCAATTGAAACAAGGGAAGTATTTTTGCAGGTGTGAGGGCAGGTGGGCTGGCAAGGGGCATTCTGGGAACTGCTGGCTGAGGCTCAAGGACCCGGAAAGAGGAGGCTGGTGGGTGACACAGAAAGACGGAAATGGATGTGAGAGGATGGGCCAGGGGAGAAGCTGGTTCACCCTTGTCAGGATGCAGCGAAGGTCAAGGGCAGGCTTGAGGATCTCAGAGAGTCTAGTACCTCTGGAAGGGGAGGAGGCAGAGGGCATTCGCTGAGTTTCCCAGAGAGCTGGGAACATGAGAATGTGGGATCTCAGGAAGACGGATATTGATGAGCACTGGGGTTTTCCTCATGGAATTCTTGGGGAGTGTGTCAGATCCACTTAGTACGGACCCTCTGTTAAAATGCTTTCTCTAGCATGTGCATCAGTCAGGGTCCCAGTGGAAATAGATGGCACCCTCAAACTGGATAATTGAGGAAATTTTAATGAAAGGACTCTTTGCCAAGATGTGGCCACCACAGGGAGTGAGGTGCCAATGGGACAGTGCCCAAGCTGGGACATGGTAGGGAGAGTCTTGTCACCCCAGTACTGGGGGCTTGGTGGGGAGAGCGGGACCTGGGGAGGAGAGAGGACCACCTGCCTCTGAAGGGGAAGGAACACCCACCACTCCCATCACCTCTGTCTCCCACTGGCCAATCAGTCCCAACTTGAAACCAGACACCACTGTGGGGCTGGCAAATCTGAATCCCCAGGACCAACGGGAGGCCTGGAGATAGATGGAGTGGGTTGATGTTGCAGTGTTGAGTCCAAAGGCTAGAGACACGGGAAGATGTTGTAGTCTAGAGGCAGAATTCCTTCTTCATGAAATTTCTGCCTTGAGGACCTTCATCTGGGGGGTAAGGCATACTCATATATGGAGGGGCATTTGCTTTACTTAAATTCAACAGATAGTAAATGTTGATCACACCTAAGGGCATACTTTGCAGCAGTATCTAGATTGGCGTTGACCAAACAATTGGTCACCATAGTCTCGCCCACTTGACCCACAAAAAGAATTGTCACCACCCTCGTGATGGGACACAATGGAAGTAGGATTATATCAAGGTTCATTCAGGACCTTACAGTTTAACTGTTGCTCTCACATGTGTTGGCTTATCTAATCCTCAAAACCATGTGGTAAGAGAGTGTTACCATCCATATTTCATGCCTATTATACTGGAGGCTCAGAGAGGAATTGCCCAAGGACACAGAGCTGGAAAACTAGGGACAAGTCTATAGTCAAGGTGTTGTGATTTCAATTCTAGCCAGTTTCTAAGTGGGTAATACAATATTTTTTAAATGCCAGGATGAAATCACATGACATCAGGTGATAAAATGGGGGAGTAGGACAGCAGTGTCAAAGATCAGCCATGCATTGATGATTGCTGTAGGGTTACTACATTTTTCTCTCCACTTTTAATATGAGAATTGTGACAATAACATTTTAATCTAATCTCCTGGCTTTGTGAGCAGTTTCCTGTCTTATAAAGCAGACACTTGAGCCCTCTCATTTGTAGCAGTGTGAAAAACAAGCCTTCTGGATTTCACTCGGCTTGCCCTTGCTTTGTTTTTGAAGGACATTCTCCACCAAGGAGAGAGAGAGAGGTTATGGTGGAAATCTTTGCTGTCGGGCACACTAAGTATCTTCTTATGACACTGGCCCCCTTAGTCCTGCCGGCTGACACAGGTCTCACCACCACGTAGTGATTACAGGCACAGAT